TGGACCACCTTCTACCAGTGAGTGGGATGTGTTTTTTTTTTTATGCATCTGTCAAAAGCGGAAACTTCAGCGGCACTCAGGGACTCATATTAGCTGCATTGCCTTGAACACACCTACTGTAGCTAGGATTTGTTCACAGCCCACTGCTGCCCCCTGGAGTTAACTTCTGTCACTGCACCCTCGAGTTTGCTTCAGTCAGAGCTCACAGAACTACATGTTAGAGGTCCATAGGGGTTTGCTTTTGTCACTGCACACACACACACACACACTTTTTGCTGTTCCGAGATCTGCCATGTTAAGAGAAATCCGCAGAGACAAGCTATTCCCATTCTAGTTGTCCCTAACATGCTGACTAGACCGGGCGGGCACATGTCTCTCTCCTCCAGGTATGACAGTGAGAAGTAACCTCTATATGTCTCTCCTCCAGGTATGACAGTTAGAAGTAACCTCTATATGTCTCTCTCCTCCAGGTATGACAGTTAGAAGTAACCTCTATATGTCTCTCTCTCCTCCAGGTATGACAGTTAGAAGTAACCTCTATATGTCTCTCTCTCCTCCAGGTATGACAGTTAGAAGTAACCTCTATATGTCTCTCTCTCCTCCAGGTATGAAGTAACCTCTATATGTCTCTCTCTCCTCCAGGTATGACAGTGAGAAGTAACCTCTATATGTTTCTCTCCTCCAGGTATGACAGTTAGAAGTAACCTCTATATGTCTCTCTCTCCTCCAGGTATGACAGTTAGAAGTAACCTCTATATGTCTCTCTCCTCCAGGTATGACAGTTAGAAGTAACCTCTATATGTCTCTCTCTCCTCCAGGTATGACAGTTAGAAGTAACCTCTATATGTCTCTCTCTCTTCCAGGTATGACAGTTAGAAGTAACCTCTATATGTCTCTCCTCCAGGTATGACAGTTAGAAGTAACCTCTATATGTCTCTCTCCTCCAGGTATGACAGTTAGAAGTAACCTCTATATGTCTCTCCTCCAGGTATGACAGTTAGAAGTAACCTCTATATGTCTCTCTCCTCCAGGTATGACAGTTAGAAGTAACCTCTATATGTCTCTCTCCTCCAGGTATGACAGTTAGAAGTAACCTCTATATGTCTCTCTCCTCCAGGTATGACAGTTAGAAGTAACCTCTATATGTCTCTCTCTCCTCCAGGTATGACAGTTAGAAGTAACCTATATATGTCTCTCCTCCAGGTATGACAGTTAGAAGTAACCTCTATATGTCTCTCTCCTCCAGGTATGACAGTTAGAAGTAACCTCTATATGTCTCTCTCTCCTCCAGGTATGACAGTGAGAAGTAACCTCTATATGTCTCTCTCCTCCAGGTATGACAGTTAGAAGTAACCTCTATATGTCTCTCTCTCTTCCAGGTATGACAGTTAGAAGTAACCTCTATATGTCTCTCTCCTCCAGGTATGACAGTTAGAAGTAACCTCTATATGTCTCTCCTCCAGGTATGACAGTTAGAAGTAACCTCTATATGTCTCTCTCCTCCAGGTATGACAGTTAGAAGTAACCTCTATATGTCTCTCTCTCCTCCAGGTATGACAGTTAGAAGTAACCTCTATATGTCTCTCTCTCCTCCAGGTATGACAGTTAGAAGTAACCTCTATATGTCTCTCTCCTCCAGGTATGACAGTTAGAAGTAACCTCTATATGTCTCTCTCCTCCAGGTATGACAGTGAGGGTCGTCTGACCAATGTAACCTATCCTACTGGCATGGTGACGAGTCTGCACCGGGAGATAGAACGCTCCATCAACATTGACATAGAGAGCTCCAGCAGAGACGATGACGTCACCGTTATTACCAACCTGTCCTCTGTAGAGGCCTCATACACCGTGGTGCAAGGTGGGACATACACACACATCAGTGGAGGCTGCAGAGGGGAGACAGGCTCATAATAATGGATGGAATGGAATTTGTTTCAAACCCATGAAAACCTTGTTTTTGATACCATTCCATTCACTCCATACCAGCCATTATTATGAGCCTGTCTCCCCTCAGCAGCCTCCAGTGACACACATGCATAAACACACCCCACAGTGCAAGGGACACACACACACAAATACACACACACCATGGTTCAAAGTGGAATACAGCATATTAGTATCAATACCACAGTCAAGCTGTAACTATGTTCAAACTAGACTGCAGACTGATGTGTTATTAAGTCTCAGGGACTCAGAGCAGTGTCTCAGAGTATTAATGGCTGTCTGTCTATACAGAGCTCCACCCCAGGGATGGTAATGGGAGAGAACTTATTCATCTAGCGGGAACAGCAAGCTTTATCTAAGGCCTCTGTCTCTGTATGTGTGTGTGTGTCTGTGTGTGTGTGTGTGTGTGTCTCTGTGTGTGTGTGTGTGTGTGTCTGTGTGTCTCTGTGTGTGTGTGTCTCTGTGTGTGTCTCTGTGTGTCTATGTGTGTCCCTGTGTGTGTGTGTGTGTTGGGTGTATTACAGCACAGTGTTCTGGTCTGCTGTGCTGGTTTTGAAAGCTTGCGTTGCTCCCCTCTCTCGCTCTCTCTTTCTCTCTCTCTCTCTCTCTCTCTCTCTCTCTGTTTTTATCACAAAGAGATTTTTCCGATAGTGAGAAGGTAGTCTACTGCAGAGTCGACAGAAAGCCATCTCTGTGTGTTTGAAGAGTTGCTAAAACGCTGCCTGGAGGTTTATAACAACTTGGCTTTATGGATTACTGCCGTTTATGGTGATGGAGGTTCAAAGCCGCTGTGTGTGTGTGTGTATGTGTGTGTTTTTGCGTGCGTACATGTGCGTGCACGTGAATTTCCACATGCGCGTGTGTGTATGTGCGTGTATTGTGTGTGTGTGTGTGTGTGTATCTACGTATGATTCCCCCTGCCTTTGGTAATGAAATAAAAGGCTCTTCCTCTGCGTCGGCGGAGAATCACTGTTATCTTATCTTCAATCAAAACATTGTTATCACGCTGCTGTTCTTTGTGCCTCAGATAGAGAAGAAGAATGGACCCTCAATCACCCTGTTGCTTTCCAGAGGCTACAACACATCAGACACTGTCTTTCCAGAGGCTACAACACATCAGACACTGTCTTTCCAGAGGCTACAACACACCAGACACTGTCTTTCCAGAGGCTACAACACATCAGACACTGTCTTTCCAGAGGCTACAACACATCAGACACTGTCTTTCCAGAGGCTACAACACATCAGACACTGTCTTTCCAGAGGCTACAACACATCAGACACTGTCTTTCCAGAGGCTACAACACATCAGACACTGTCTTTCCAGAGGCTACAACACACCAGACACTGTCTTTCCAGAGGCTACAACACATCAGACACTGTCTTTCCAGAGGCTACAACACACCAGACACTGTCTTTCCAGAGGCTACAACACATCAGACACTGTCTTTCCAGAGGCTACAACACACCAGACACTGTCTTTCCAGAGGCTACAACACACCAGACACTGTCTTTCCAGAGGCTACAACACACCAGACACTGTCTTTCCAGAGGCTACAACACATCAGACACTGTCTTTCCAGAGGCTACAACACATCAGACACTGTCTTTCCAGAGGCTACAACACACCAGACACTGTCTTTCCAGAGGCTACAACACACCAGACACTGTCTTTCCAGAGGCTACAACACACCAGACACTGTCTTTCCAGAGGCTACAACACACCAGACACTGTCTTTCCAGAGGCTACAACACACCAGACACTGTCTTTCCAGAGGCTACAACACATCAGACACTGTCTTTCCAGAGGCTACAACACACCAGACACTGTCTTTCCAGAGGCTACAACACATCAGACACTGTCTTTCCAGAGGCTACAACACATCAGACACTGTCTTTCCAGAGGCTACAACACACCAGACACCGTTTTGATTTGTTTATATGTTTACAAGCAATGTTCCCTCTAATTGTTCTCGACACTGAGTACATTTCAGGTCTGTTGAGTGCAAACTTGAAAGTTGTGAAAATTAATCGCAACTTCCAGCGCCCATTTACTGTGAACACTGAGGCTGTACCCGCTTTAAGTTAGTTTTAACAGTGGCCAAGTAGGCTACTGTGGCTATTTGATCATAATGTAGGCCTGCCAGAGTGGCCTACCATCAAAAACAATGGAGAAAATCCATCCCATAACATTTTAACATGGAAATAGCTGTTCTATCGTTCAGCCTACAGTAGCAGCCAATGTGTGGTGTTCAATGTAGGCCTACATTCCATTAGACTTTTGAAAAAAAACATGCAGGGCTTGACATTAACCTGTTTATCCGCTTTTCCTTCAGACAAGGAGGTGACTGAAAATGTTGTTGTGTGGTTTGATGTAAGAAACTACTTTACAAAATATAACGCATTATTATTCCCATACCATTATTACAGAGAATCAGACAAATTATGCTACCCTCTGCCTATTGGCTACTTAGCTTATTCAAGCCAGTCTCAAAATACAACACTTCCCCTTTAAGACATAAAAAACGCTCTTTACCTGACTTACTTTTCAAAGATGTCTAGAAATTAACACGTTTTGTGCTGTTGTAGGAAGCAATCCCTCCCCTATTGCTGACTACAAATGATCTATAACTGGGCTAATAACTCACTAACTAGCAAAGGATATGAACAAAATGTTCACACGTGGCTACACGCAGCTCTTGCTTTGATCTCAAAACAAGCACATCTACTCACGACCACAGCTGTAAACAGTCCAGATCAAAGTAAACAGCACAGATCCATAAATGGCAATGGACTATTTGCATATAGGCCTACTGCAGCTCTGATTGGTTATGCCAAAACGGTCTGTATAGAGTACGGGCTGAGTCATGCATGTATGCAATAGAATCCTACTCCGATGCGTTCTGCCTACAACAAAATCTCTTGCATAGTTCGTTTTGTTTCGGTATGTTGCATTGAAAGTGGCGAATATTGCGTTGATTCGATCACAATTGCCACAGTAAAGGGAAACGTTGATAGCGTTAACTAACAGGGAAAACTCTAGAAAGCTGAGTGAAGTTCAGTCTCATGCTTCTCTCTGTGGGCTGATACTGTTTTTATTCTGCACAGCAGTCTAGGGGCTCTCGCACAGGAATATAAAAAATGAAATGAAAGAGTGCCAGATTATTCATTTACCAAACTGTTCTATAAACCAGACGCACATTTACTTTCATTATGAGTCACTCTTAGTGTGGAGTTGCCTGATCAGAAATGATACTAACAAGTTGGCAAAAAATTCATACGACAAATTGTTGTTGTTTTTGTTAAAGGAAAGAGTTCTGCTTTTGAAGGGCAGCGAAAATCAATTTCAATTTAATCTGCGACTTTATCTCTTTTCAGCATATAAACATGACAGAGGAAGACGCCAGTAAAAGAGCCAACTCATATAACTCCCTTCTCTCTACTTGTCCCTATCGCCCCCTACAGACCAGGTGAGGAACAGCTACCAGCTGTGTAACAACGGCACCCTGCGGGTGATGTATGCCAACGGGATGGGCATCAGCTTCCACACTGAGCCCCACATCCTGGCCGGGTCGGTCAGTCCTACTATCGGCCGTAGGAACATCACACTACCCACAGACAACGGACTCAACTCCATCGAGTGGCGGCTCCGCAAGGAACAGACCAAGGGGAAGGTCACTGTGTTTGGCAGGAAGCTGAGGGTGAGCTGAGATTACCTCGCTTCCTTTCTGTGTGTCATTTAGTCATTAGCGAGGACATCACAAACTCTACAGTATGTGTAGAGATGACATCACTTTCTCTGTGTGTAAAGCTGACATCACTGACTCTGCCTCCAGAGATGACATCACTGACTCTGCCACCAGAGATGACATCACTCTCTATCTTCCTCCAGGCACACGGCCGTAACCTCCTCTCCATCGACTTCGACCGCAACACTCGGACGGAGAAGATCTACGACGACCACCGCAAGTTCACGCTCCGCATCATGTACGACGCGCAGGGCCGGCCCGCCATGTGGTTGCCTAGCAGCAGCCTGGCAGTGGTGAACGTGTCGTACTCGACCACGGGTCAGCTGGTGGGGCTGCAGAGGGGCAGTATGAGCGAGAGAACAGAGTTTGACCCTCAGGGACGTATTCTGTCACGGTCGTTCATAGACGGCAAGGTGTGGAGCTACAGCTACCTGGATAAGGTGAGGACATAGCACTGTCTGGTACTGGTAACTGTTACTGGTAACTGTTACTGGTAACTGGTACTGCTACTGGTACTGCTACTGGTACTGGTAACTGTTGTTATCATCTGTTTGGAGCTACAGATACCTGGATAAGGTGAGGGCATCGTAGCACCTGTAGCAGGGATAGCAATGACAGGCTGGTTGAGAGATGTGAAAAGTGCATAAAATGATGCTAGTGGTGGTGATGATGATGACTTACGTTCCCTCTCCCCTTCTCTCCAGTCCATGGTCCTTCTCCTGCAGAGCCAGAGACAGTACATATTTGAGTTTGACGCTTCGGGACGCGTCACGGCCGTTACCATGCCTAGTGTAGCCCGTCACACCATGTCCACCCACATCTCTATCGGTTACATCCGCAACACCTACAACCCTCCTGAGAGCAACGCCTCCATCATCCACGACTTCAGCGAAGACGGCCGCCCCCAGGCCACCCACTACCTCGGCACTGGCCGACGTGTCCTCTACAAGTACGGCAAGCTGGCCAAGCTAGCTGAGATCCTCTACGACAGCACCGTGGTGACGTTCGGTTACGACGAGACAGCTGGGGTGCTGAAGATGGTGAACTTACAGAGTGGCGGGTTCTCCTGTACGATACGTTACCGTAAGATGGGTCCATTGATCGACAAGCAGATCTACCGGTTCAGTGAGGAAGGGATGGTGAACGCTAGGTTTGACTACACATACCACGACAACAGCTTCCGTATCGCTAGTATGAAGCCAGTCATCAGTGAGACTCCACTGCCTGTGGACCTCTACCGCTATGACGAGATCTCTGGAAAGGTGGGTAGACAACTACACTACTAACCCTAGCCCTAGCTCCAGCTACAACCTTAACCCTAGCTTCAACCCTAACCCTAGCCTCAATCCTAACCCTAAACCTAGCTTCATGTCCACATCCTGGTTCAACCCTAACCCTAACCCTCAACCCTAACCCTAGTCTCAAGCCTAACTCCAGCCACAACCCAAACTAACCCTAACTCCAGCCACAACCCAACCCCTTGCAGGATGTCAGTTACAGTTGATAGATTGAGCATAAATCATCTATACTGGACTATCCAGTTAAAGTGGGACCTAGACCCTCTGTACAATATTTGACTTAACTCTTAACTCTTGACTGTTGTCTTGGCTACAGGTGGAGCACTTTGGGAAGTTTGGTGTGATCTACTATGACATCAACCAGATTATAACCACGGCTGTGATGACCCTCAGCAAGCACTTCGACACCCACGGGCGCATCAAGGAGGTGCAGTATGAGATCTTCAGGTCCCTGATGTACTGGATGACGGTGCAGTACGACAGTATGGGACGCGTGGTGAAGAGAGAGCTGAAGATTGGACCATACGCCAACACAACACAGTACCGTTATGAGTATGACGGGGACGGACAGCTCAGCGGGGTGAAGGTAGGAGATCTGACGTTACCAGTGTGATACTTCAGGTTTGGTATTAAAGAGTTGACTTCAGGTTTGGTATTAAAGAGTTGACTTCAGGTTTGACTTCAGGTTTGACTTCAGGTTTGGTATTAAAGAGTTGACTTCAGGTTTGGTATTATAGAGTTGACTTCAGGTTTAGTATTAAAGAGTTGACTTCAGGTTTGGTATTAAAGAGTTGACTTCAGGTTTGGTATTAAAGAGTTGACTTCAGGTTTGGTATTAAAGAGTTGACTTCAGGTTTGGTATTAAAGAGTTGACTTCAGGTGCGTTTTTAAAGAGTTGACTTCAGGTTTGGTATTAAAGAGTTGACTTCAGGTTTAGTATTAAAGAGTTGACTTCAGGTTTGGTATTATAGAGTTGACTTCAGGTTTAGTATTAAAGAGTTGACTTCGGTGTGGTATTATAGAGTTGACTTCAGGTTTAGTATTAAAGAGTTGACTTCAGGTGTGTTTTTAAAGAGTTGACTTCAGGTTTGGTATTAAAGAGTTGACTTCAGGTTTAGTATTAAAGAGTTGACTTCAGGTTTGGTATTAAAGAGTTGACTTCAGGTGCGTTTTTAAAGAGTTGACTTCAGGTTTGGTATTAAAGAGTTGACTTCAGGTTTAGTATTAAAGAGTTGACTTCAGGTTTGGTATTATAGAGACCGGCTCAATCGGTGGCTCCAGTGACGCTATCTCTTTCATTGTTACCCAACGCTTAGGGTTACCTGAACTGTACTCATATCCTTCCATATCCTTTTCTGTACATAATGCCCTGAATCTTTTCTACAACGCCCGGAGAACTGCCCCCTTTATTCTATGTACCCAACGCACTAGAAGACCAGTTCTTAAAGCCTTTAGTCGTATCCTTATTCTAGTCCTCCTCTGTTCCTCTGGTGATGTAGAGGCTAACCCAGGCCCTGCAGCCCCCAGTATCACTCCTACTCCCCAGGAGCTATCATTTGTTGACTTCTGTAACCGTAAAAGTCTTGGTTTTCTGCACGTAAATATCAGAAGCCTCCTTCCTAAGTTTGAGTTATTCACTGCGTTAGCACACTCCGCCAACCCTGATGTTCTAGCAGTGTCTGAATCCTGGCTTAGGAAGGCCACCAAAAATTCTGAAATTTCCATCCCCAACTATAACATTATCCGTCTAGATAGAACTGCCAAAGGGGGTGGAGTTGCAATCTACTGTAGAGATAGCCTGCAGAGCTCTATCATACTATCCAGGTCTGTGCCCAAACAGTTTGAGCTTCTACTTCTAAAAATCCACCTTTCCAGAAATAAATCTCTCACTGTTGCCGCTTGCTACAGACCCCCCTCAGCCCCCAGCTGTGCCCTGGACACCATATGTGAATTGATTGCCCCCCATCTATCCTCAGAGTTCGTTCTGCTTGGTGACCTAAATTGGGATATGCTTAACACCCCGGCCATCCTACAATCTAAACTAGATGCCCTCAATCTCACACAAATTATCAACGAACCTACCAGGTACAACCCTAAATCCGTAAACATGGGTACCCTCATAGATATCATCCTGACTAACTTACCCTCTAAATACACCTCCGCTGTCTTCAACCAGGATCTCAGCGATCACTGCCTTATTGCCTGCGTCCGTAACGGGTCCGCGGTCAAACGACCACCCCTCATCACTGTCAAACGCTCCCAAAAACACTTCAGCGAGCAGGCCTTCCTAATTGACCTGGCCCAGGTATCCTGGATGGATATAGATCTCATTCCGTCAGTAGAGGATGCCTGGTTGTTCTTTAAAAGTAATTTCCTCTTAATCTTAAATAAACATGCCCCATTCAAAAAATACAGAACTAAGAACAGATATAGCCCCTGGTTCTCCTCAGACTTGACTGCCCTTGACCAGCACAAAAACATCCTGTGGCGTACTGCATTAGCATCAAATAGCCCCCGCGATATGCAACTTTTCAGGGAAGTTAGGAACCAATATACACAAGCAGTTAGGAAAGCAAAGGCTAACTTTTTCAAACAGAAATTTGCATCCTGTAGCACTAACTCCAAAAAGTTTTGGGACACTGTAAAGTCCATGGAAAATAAGAGCACTTCCTCCCAGCTGCCCACTGCACTGAGGCTAGGAAACACTATCACCACCGATAAATCTACAATAATCGAGAATTTCAACAAGCATTTTGCTACGGCTGGCCATGCTTTCCACCTGGCTACCACTACCCTGGCCACCAGCTCTGCACCCTCCGCTGCAACTTGCCCATGCCCCCCCCGCTTCTCCTTCACACAAATCCAGACAGCTGATGTTCTGAAAGAGCTGCAAAATCTGGACCCCTACAAATCATCTGGGCTAGACAATCTGGACCCTTTCTTTCTAAAACTAGCCGCCGAAATTGTCGCAACCCCTATTACTAGCCTGTTCAACCTCTCTTTCGTAACGTCTGAGATCCCCAGAGATTGGAAAGCTGCCGCGGTCATCCCCCTCTTCAAAGGGGGTGACACTCTAGATCCAAACTGTTACAGACCCATATCAATCCTGCCCTGCCTTTCAAAAGTTTTTGAAAGCTAAGTCAACAAACAGATCACCGACCATTTCGAATCCCACCGTACCTTCTCCGCTATGCAATCCGGTTTCCGAGCTGGTCATGGGTGCACTTCAGCCACGCTCAAGGTCCTAAACGATATTATAACCGCGATTGATAATAGACAGTACTGTGCAGCCGTTTTCATTGACCTGGCCAAGGCTTTCGACTCTGTCAACCACCGCATTCTTATTGGCAGACTAAATAGCCTTGGTTTCTCAAATGACTGCCTCGCCTGGTTCACCAACTACTTCTCAGATAGAGTTCAATGTGTCAAATCGGAGGGCCTGTTGTCTGGACCTATGGCAGTCTCTATGGGGGTGCCACAGGGTTCAATTCTTGGGCCGACTCTTTTCTCTGTGTATATCAATGACGTCGCTCTTGCTGCTGGTGACTCTCAGATCCACCTCTACGCAGACGACACCATTTTGTATACATCTGGCCCTTCATTGGACACTGTGTTAACAAACCTCCAAACGAGCTTCAATGCCATACAACACTCCTTCAGTAGCCTCCAACTGCTCTTAAACACTAGTAAAACTAAATGCATGCTCTTCAACCGAACGCTGCTTGCACCCACCCACCCGACTAGAATCACTACTCTCGACGGGTCTGACCTAGAGTATGTGGACAACTACAAATATCTAGGTGTCTGGTTAGACTGTAAACTCTCCTTCCAGACTCACATTAAGAATCTCCAATCCAAAGTTAAATCTAGAATCGGTTTCCTATTTCGCAACAAAGCCTCCTTCACTCATACTGCCAAACATGCCCTCGTAAAACTGACTATCCTACCGATCCTTGACTTCGGCGATGTCATTTACAAAATAGCCTCCAACACTCTACTCAGCAAATTGGATGTAGTCTATCACAGTGCCATCCGTTTTGTCTCCAAAGCCCCATATAATACCCACCACTGTGACCTGTACGCCCTTGTTGGCTGGTCCTCACTAAATATTCGTCGCCAAACCCACTGGCTCCAGGCCATCTATAAATCACTGCTAGGCAAATCCCCACCTTATCTTAGCTCATTGGTCACCATAGCAACACCCACCCGTAGTCTGCGCTCCAGCAGGTATATCTCACTGGTCATCCCCAAAGCCAACACCTCCTTTGGCCGCAATTCCTTCCAGTTCTCTGCTGCCAATGACTGGAACAAATTGCAAAAATCTCTGAAGCTGGAGACACTTATCTCCCTCACTAACTTTAAGCATCAGTTGTCAGAGCACCTTACCGATCACTGCACCTGTACACAGCCCATCTGAAATTAGCCCGCCCAACTACCTCATCCCTATATTGTTATTTATTTTGCTCATTTGTACCCCAGTATCTCTATTTGCACATCATCTCTTGCACATCTATCATTCCAGTGTTAATACTAATTGTAATTATTTTGCACTATAACCTATTTATTGCCTTACCTCCATAACTTGCTACATTTGCACACACTGTATATATATGTATTTCTGTTGTATTTTTGACTTTGTTTTGTTTTACCCCATATGTAACTCTGTGTTGTTGTTTTTATCGCACTGCTTTGCTTTATCTTGGCCAGGTCGCAGTTGTAAATGAGAACTTGTTCTCAACTGGTTTACCTGGTTAAATAAAGGTGAAATAAAATAAATAAATAAATATAGAGTTGACTTCAGGTTTAGTATTATAGAGTTGACTTCAGGTTTGGTATTAAAGAGTTGACTTCAGGTTTGGTATTAAAGAGTTGACTTCAGGTTTGGTATTAAATAATTGACTTCAGGTTTGGTATAAAAGAGTTGACTTCAGGTGTGTTTTTAAAGAGTTGACTTCAGGTTTGGTATTATAGAGTTGACTTCAGGTTTAGTATTAAAGAGTTGACTTCAGGTTTGGTATTTTAGAGTTGACTTCAGGTTTAGTATTAAAGAGTTGACTTCAGGTGTGTTTTTAAAGAGTTGACTTCAGGTGTGGTATTATAGAGTTGACTTCAGGTTTGGTATTATAGAGTTGACTTCAGGTTTGGTATTATAGAGTTGACTTCAGGTTTGGTATTAAAGAGTTGACTTCAGGTTTAGTATTAAAGAGTTGACTTCAGGTTTGGTATTATAGAGTTGACTTCAGGTTTAGTATTAAAGAGTTGACTTCAGGTTTAGTATTAAAGAGTTGACTTCAGGTTTAGTATTAAAGAGTTGACTTCAGGTTTGGTATTAAAGAGTTGACTTCAGGTTTGGTATTATAGAGTTGACTTCAGGTTTAGTATTAAAGAGTTGACTTCAGGTTTGGTATTATAGAGTTGACTTCAGGTTTGGTATTATAGAGTTGACTTCAGGTTTGGTATTATAGAGTTGACTTCAGGTGTGTCAAAGCTATTTTCATTCTCTACTCCTCCAGGTGAACGACTGGTCCACCTGGCGCTATAGCTACGACCTGAACGGCAACCTGCACCTCCTCAACCCCGGGAACAGCGCCCGCCTCACGCCACTCCGCTACGACCTCCGAGACCGCATCACGCGCCTGGGCGACGTGCAGTACCGTCTGGATGAGGACGGCTTCCTGAGCCAGCGAGGCTCAGATGTCTTCGACTACAACTCCAAGGGCCAGCTCCTTAGAGCATATAACAAGCTACCGGGAGGCTGGAGCGTCCAGTACCGCTATGACGGACTGGGCAGGAGAGTGTCCACTAGGACCAGTCTGGGACAACATCTCCAGTTCTTCTACGCTGATCTGAACCACCCGGCTAGAGTCACACATATATTCAATCACTCCAGCTCAGATATCGCTTCACTGTACTATGATTTGCAGGTAGGCTACCAGATTATTAGGGAAAAGTGTGTTCATCAACAGGCTACATGTGATAAATACTGTTCATCGTGATTACAGTGGGGGAAAAAAGTATTTAGTCAGCCACCAATTGTGCAAGTTCTCCCACTTAAAAAGATGAGAGAGGCCTGTAATTTTCATCATAGGTACACGTCAACTATGACAGACAAAATGAGGGAAAAAAATCCAGAAAATCACATTGTAGGATTTTTTATGAATTTATTTGCAAATTATGGTGGAAAATAAGTATTTGGTCAATAACAAAAGTTTCTCAATACTTTGTTATATACCCTTTGTTGGCAATGACACAGGTCAAACGTTTTCTGTAAGTCTTCACAAGGTTTTCACACACTGTTGCTGGTATTTTGGCCCATTCCTCCATGCAGATCTCCTCTAGAGCAGTGATGTTTTGGGGCTGTCGCTGGGCAACACGGACTTTCAACTCCCTCCAAAGATTTTCTATGGGGTTGAGATCTGGAGACTGGCTAGGCCACTCCAGGACCTTGAAATGCTTCTTACGAAGCCACTCCTTCGTTGCCCGGGCGGTGTGTTTGGGATCATTGTCATGCTGAAAGACCCAGCCACGTTTCATCTTCAATGCCCTTGCTGATGGAAGGAGGTTTTCACTCAAAATCTCACGATACATGGCCCCATTCATTCTTTCCTTTACACGGATCAGTCGTCCTGGTCCCTTTGCAGAAAAACAGCCCCAAAGCATGATGTTTCCACCCCCATGCTTCACAGTAGGTATGGTGTTCTTTGGATGCAACTCAGCATTCTTTGTCCTCCAAACACGACGAGTTGAGTTTTTACCAAAAAGTTATATTTTGGTTTCATCTGACCATATGACATTCTCCCAATCCTCTTCTGGATCATCCAAATGCACTCTAGCAAACTTCAGACGGGCCTGGACATGTACTGGCTTAAGCAGGGGGACACGTCTGGCACTGCAGGATTTGAGTCCATGGCGGCGTAGTGTGTTACTGATGGTAGGCTTTGTTACTTTGGTCCCAGCTCTCTGCAGGTCATTCACTAGGTCCCCCCGTGTGGTTCTGGGATTTTTGCTCACTGTTCTTGTGATCATTTTGACCCAACGGGGTGAGATCTTGCGTGGAGCCCCAGATCGAGGGAGATTATCAGTGGTCTTGTATGTCTTCCATTTCCTAATAATTGCTCCCACAGTTGATTTCTTCAAACCAAGCTGCTTACCTATTGCAGATTCAGTCTTCCCAGCCTGGTGCAGGTCTACAATTTTGTTTCTGGTGTCCTTTGACAGCTCTTTGGTCTTGGCCATAGTGGAGTTTGGAGTGTGACTGTTTGAGGTTGTGGACAGGTGTCTTTTATACTGATAACAAGTTCAAACAGGTGCCATTAATACAGGTAATGAGTGAAGGACAGAGGAGCCTCTTAAAGAAGAAGTTACAGGTCCGTGAGAGCCAGAAATCTTGCTTGTTTGTAGGTGACCAAATACTTATTTTCCACCATAATTTGCAAATAAATTCATTAAAAATCCTACAATGTGATTTTCTGGATTTTTTTCCCTCAATTTGTCTGTCATAGTTGACGTGTACCTATGATGAAAATTACAGGCCTCTCTCATCTTTTTATGTGGGAGAACTTGCACAATTGGTGGCTGACTAAATACTTTTTTTCCCCACTGTATCTTATGACTTTGTTATCGTTGTCATATAACCAAATTGTTGTGATGCTATCATTACAGAGTATATCGCATAGCTATTATCACACATTAATGGTGATGTCACCATCTCTGACTTATTGTGAATACTATCATTACTTAACTTATTGTGATATAGCCTAACTGAGTCAGGGATACTATCATTACTTAAATCTCATAACTATTATCACCCAGTTATGGTGACGTGACTGTCTGTGAGTTATGGTGATGTGAGTTATGGTGACGTGACTGTCTGTGAGTTATGGTGATGTGAGTTATGGTGACGTGACTGTCTGTGAGTTATGGTGATGTGACTGTCTGTGAGTTATGGTGATGTGACCATGTGAGTTATGGTGACTGTCTGTGAGTTATGGTGATGTGACTGTCTGTGAGTTATGGTGATGTGACCGTGTGAGTTATGGTGACTGTCTGTGAGTTATGGTGATGTGACTGTCTGTGAGTTATGGTGACGTGACTGTCTGTGAGTTATGGTGATGTGACCGTGTGAGTTATGGTGACTGTCTGTGAGTTATGGTGACGTGACTGTCTGTGAGTTATGGTGATGTGACCGTGTGAGTTATGGTGACTGTCTGTGAGTTATGGTGATGGGACTGTCTGTGGGTTATGGTGATGGGACTGTCTGTGAGTTATGGTGATGGAACTGTCTGTGAGTTATGGTGATGGGACTGTCTGTGGGTTATGATGATGGGACTGTCTGTGGGTTATTTTAATGTAAAGCCTGTACTGCTTCCCTCAGGGCCATCTGTTTGCTATGGAGGTGAGTAGTGGAGAGGAGTATTACATCGCCTCAGACAACACAGGAACACCACTGGCTGTCTTCAGCAGCAACGCACAGATGATCAAACAGGTACTCATGATGACAGTAATAATAATAATACTACTATTAATGATCATCATTTTTTGTTGCATGATTGTTAAATATCTCAAGGACCATTATCCGCATGTTAAGATAAGCCAAGAGAAGATAAGTTAGTACCTGATGTCCAGAGAGGTCAATTTGATTATTCAAATTATTATTCAAAAACTGACCAAGTAAACCAACTTTGCCTTTCCTAATTGCCCCCGAGGGGATAAAGTTGTGCTGAATTGAAGTGAAACAAGCGTCTGTGTTTGTTGTGATGTCCAGGTCCAGTACACAGCATATGGGGAGGTGTACCTGGACTCCAACCCAGAGTTCCAGCTGGTGGTTGGGTTCCATGGTGGTCTCTATGACACCCTGACCAAGCTGGTCCACTTCACCCAGAGGGACTATGACGTCCTGGCAGGCCGCTGGACCTCGCCAGACTATGCCTCCTGGCCCAAGATCGGCAAGGACCCTGCACCCTTCAACCTGTACATGTTCAAGAACAATAACCCCCTCAGCGACGTGTTGGACATCAAGAACTACGTCACAGGTAGAGCGTCTTTGGATCTTTGAAAAGTGCTTTATAAAACCAATGCATTATTGTTATTGAAGGTAAGGGAGAGAGAGCTGAGTGGGGGGCGTTGTGTTATCATTGTCAATGTGTACTTCTCCTTATTTATTTTTCATTTAGATTCTGAGAACATCCAAAAAGATCCATGCAATATTTTACTACACTGTTCCCTAATACTACGCACATTATTATACCATTTTCACAATTCTCAACATTTCTATGACTTGCTAGTGGTATGGTAACTGTTCTGCTGTCTTTGCTCCCCAGACGTGAAGAGTTGGCTGGTGATGTTTGGTTTCCAGCTCAGTAACATCATTCCAGGGTTCCCCCGTCACACCCTCTACTTCGTAGAGCCTCCCTACGAGCTGCAGGCCAGCCAGGACTGTGAAAACGGACAGGTGAGAAGGCCTGGGACAGCCTACAGCTTCATTGCACTATATTGATTCTATGTAAACCAGAATTTGAAACATACGGCCTGCGAGCCAAATGCGGCCTGCTATTACAGACAAATGGTCCTCTCTCTTTCTCTCAGAGTCGGATGCCAATTAGATGAGACATTGAATACAGAATCACTAATATGAACCTTCAATGATTACAGTGAAATCTGGACATTAATAGATGAGAATAACTGTAAATCAGACCGTATAACTGTATCCTCGTCTGCATTCTTCTGCTTGACCAGTGATCTTTAACCCCTTTCCTACCCCTCTTTCTCCTGTAGCTGATAACGGGGGTGCAGCAGGCAGCGGAGCGCCACAACCAGGCCTTCATGGCCCTGGAGGGACGGCTCCTTAACAAGGACCCCCGCGACCGCAGTGACAAGCCAGGACACTGGTTCGGCACATCAACGCCCATAATCGGCCGGGGAGTGATGCTAGCGCTAAAGGAAGGACGTGTGGTGGCGGCGGTTAGCTCTATGGCAACCGACGACAGTCGAAAAGTGTCCCTGGTCCTCAACAGCGCCATCTACCTGGACGGAACGCACTACACGCAGGATGGACGTGACTGTCACTTCTTCGTTAAAGTCGGTTCGGCCGATAGTGATCTACTGGCGCTGGGGCTCACCAACGGACGCAAGGCGCTGGAGAGCGGGATCAATGTGACTGTGAGCGGGAGGTCGCGGCGCGGCGCCACAGTGGAGTTTGCGGTGCCGTCGTTAGCCCTCAGCGTGCGGTATGGGCTAGCGCTGGACGTGGTGGACGAGGAGAGGGTGAGGCTGCTGGAACTAGCCCGGCAGAGGGCCCTGGCTGGGGCCTGGCTGAGGGAGCAGCAGAGGGCCAAGGATGGGAAGGAGGGGAGTCGGCTATGGACGGAGGGGGAGAAGCAGCAGCTGCTGACCGCAGGGAGGGTACAGGGGTACGACGGGTATCATGTTCTACCTGTGGAACAGTACCCAGAACTGGCTGACAGCAGCACCAACATTCAGTTCCTGAGACAGAACGAGATGGGCAAGAGGTAACAGCCCACCTGGACTGGGAATGGAGGACTGGCTGACTCTTTCTCTCTCACTGACTCTCCTCCTCCTCTTCCTCCCTTTCAACCCCCACGTCCTAGTTACTAGTTCCTTCCTCTCTTCGCTCCCCCCTCCCCCGCCTTCTCCCCCTTTCCTCTCCAACCCCGCAGAAAATAAACCAACAAAAGGGGTTACTCACTGAACGCTGCAGGGACTTTTGAAAAGAAGAATATACTAGAAAACCTTTTTTTTTTTACTTTTACTGCCAAGGGCAAACAATCTAACATTTAGACAGAAGTTTATTTTATTTTAATTTTTTGTTGAAAACAGACTGTGGAGAAAGGCACTCATGAACCTTGAAAAACAAACTGTTGCTTAATAACTAAGATCCCCCTTTTTAAAAAATAAATTGATATTTTCACCCACATGTTTGGGGTCACTTTGAGGCCGTAATGACAGACTCTGAACTGATGGTGGCGCTGTGTTGTGCTGGGTGCTCTGATAAGGCCTGCCTCTGAAAAGAGCAAAGGGACCAATAGGGACGCAGAGCCACCACAGGGCCCAGCCAATCACAACACTGATCAGAAGAGAAGATCACCAACGGCAACAAGCACCGCAGCATAGGGACATAAAATGGAGTAAAACGATGAGTCATCGCACTGTCTCAGGCCTCCCATTCTCCACCACAGAACTGTTCTTAGCTACCGCAGCAACATATCCTAGCAACCAACACTCACACCACTGAGATCCTTTAACTCATAAAGACTTACAACTAAAGAAAACAAAAACTTTTTAGACACACAAAGTTGGAGGATATCACAAATAATATCACAAGGTTTTATTTTGAAAATGGGGAGAATATCATACTACTGTACTAGTTCCTTATGTGACAAACTACTATACCACAGTTCAGACTACTACACTACAGTTCAGACTACTATACCACAGTTCAGACTACTACACTACCGTTCAGACTACTATACTACAGTTCAGACTACTATACTACAGTTCAGACTACTATACTACCGTTCAGACTACTACACTACAGTTCAGACTACTATACTACAGTTCAGACTACTACACTACCGTTCAGACTACTATACTACAGTTCAGACTACTATACTACAGTTCAGACTACTATACTACCGTTCAGACTACTACACTACAGTTCAGACTACTACACTACAGTTCATACTACTACACTACCGTTCAGACTACTACACTACAGTTCAGACTACTATTCTACAGTTCAGACTACTACACTATAGTTCAGACTACTATACTACAGTTCAGACTACTACACTACAGTTCATACTACTACACTATAGTTCAGACTACTACACCACAGAACTGTTCTTAGCTACCGCAGCAACATATCCTAGCAACCAACACTCACACCACTGAGATCCTTTAACTCATAAAGACTTACAACTAAAGAAAACAAAAACTTTTTAGACACACAAAGTTGGAGGATATCACAAATAATATCACAAGGTTTTATTTTGAAAATGGGGAGAATATCATACTACTGTACTAGTTCCTTATGTGACAAACTACTATACCACAGTTCAGACTACTACACTACAGTTCAGACTACTATACCACAGTTCAGACTACTACACTACAGTTCAGATTACTACACTACAGTTCAGACTACTACACTACAGTTCAGACTACTACACTACAGTTCAGACTACTACACTACAGTTCAGACTACTACACTACAGTTCAGACTACTATACTACAGTTCAGACTACTATACTACAGTTCAGACTACTACACTACAGTTCAGACTACTATACTACAGTTCAGACTACTATACTACAGTTCAGACTACTATACTACAGTTCAGACTACTATACTACAGTTCAGACTACTATACTACAGTTCAGACTACTACACTACCGTTCAGACTACTATACTACAGTTCAGACTACTATACTACAGTTCAGACTACTATACTACAGTTCAGACTACTACACTACCGTTCAGACTACTATACTACAGTTCAGACTACTATACTACAGTTCAGACTACTATACTACAGTTCAGACTACTACAGTTCAGACTACTACACTACAGTTCAGACTACTATACTACAGTTCAGACTACTACACTACAGTTCAGACTACTACACCACAGTTCAGACTACTACACTACAGTTCAGACTACTACACTACAGTTCAGACTACTACACTACAGTTCAGACTACTATACTACAGTTCAGACTACTATACTACAGTTCAGACTACTACACTACAGTTCAGACTACTATACTACAGTTCAGACTACTATACTACAGTTCAGACTACTACACTACAGTTCAGACTACTATACTACAGTTCAGACTACTATACTACAGTTCAGACTACTATACTACAGTTCAGACTACTATACTACAGTTCAGACTACTACACTACAGTTCAGGGTGTTACGTATGGTAGCGGTAGAAGCAGTAGTTTTGTATGTTTCAGTCACAGTAGAATCGTGAAACTTTCACCAAGGCACTTCTGTACAGAAACAATCTAAAAACACCTACCGTACACGTAAGTCCAGAATACATAAAGAACTAGTATTATCAAAAGCTATTTATTTGATTTCATTATTTGTACATGTATTTATTATTCGTAGTACTAAATGACAATCATGAAGGGAGTCACTAGTTTTATCGAAGAGGACTTTACGTTTATTTTATTTGTTCAATATGTTTTTTTGTTGTTGTATTAATTAAAACATTTGCTCCCAGAGCAAATAATAGTCACACTCCAAAATAATAGTTTATGTAATAAAGTGTTTTTAAAAAAAAAACAGTTTATACTTTAAATAAAGTCATTAAACTGTGAAACTTGTTTTTTTGGAAATATATCTGGATGTACAGTATATAGACGTACCTTTATGCTGCAGCAGCACAGTAGAATATTGTTCAGAATATCCAGTTTTATATTTCTATTGAGGAAGTGGCTTGTAACGCGCTAACCTTTAGCTGGTATTACCTACTCTAGAGTTGTGTGTGACTAATCATATCTATTATCCCAATATCTACAATATCAATCCCCAGTTTGTTGTTTTCCACTGTTATTGTTTTTGTTTTGATGCAGAGATATTGCTGTTCTAGATCCCAAAAGGCGTAGAAGCGGATTGATTCATGTCACTGTGAAGAGGCTCGTTCAGTACTGGATGTCATAATGTACCAAATCAGTATTATTGATTAATAATAATAACAAGGAAGGAATAACAATGATTATTATACACTGAAAAGAGACTCTTCTGAGAACCTTATCAATAAAAAGTAATTGTTTACTTCATTAATTGGCGTCAAGTTTTATTTTCCTCTTTACTGGGGGCCATACTTGCGAACATTAGAATAAGTAAAAACTTTTTCTCTGTCTCGCAGCCAATTAAAATTGTTGACATAGTTGCACGTGATCAAACGCTGCATATTAGCTTTTCCCATCAGATAACCTTCCACACTTAGCACTATGCTAACCTGACCCAGCTGGCAGTGATTATTTCCTGTAACAAATTCCGCATCAGCCGATCAAAGATCTTAAACTTTATATCTGTGATGAGTGTGATTAGAAGGAGTCAGGCGCAGGAGGGTAAATCACTGAATACAGAGTTTATTCCGTCGTACACAGTTGCGCTGGATAGCGACAACAAAATACAGGCACAGGGGAATAATCTACCCCGGCAATACAAGGTACGGGTAGCGCCAACAAAATACAGGCACAGGGGAATAATCTACCCCGGCAATACAAGGTACGGGTAGCGCCAACAAAATACAGGCACAGGGGAATAATCTACCCCGGCAATACAAGGTACGGGTAGCGCCAACAAAATACAGGCACAGGGGAATAATCTACCCCGGCAATACAAGGTACGGGTAGCTACAACAAAATACAGGCACAGGGGAATAATCTACCCCGGCAATACAAGGTACGGGTAGCTCCACCGAGCTACACTCAACTCACATAAAACAATCACCCACAAGGACAAGGGGGCAGAGGGAACACTTATACACGGACTAATGAGGGAATAAGAACCAGGTGTGTGTAATTGACAAGACAAGACAAATGGAATGATGATATATGGAGCGGCAGTGGCTAGTAAGCCGGTGACGACGAACGCCGAAACCTGCCCGAGCAAGGAGGGGAGGCAGCCTCGGCGGAAGTCGTGACAATATCCACCAAGCCGGGGGAATATTTTAAACCTCCAAATTCAAGGTTTACTTTTGTTCCTCTTGGTCTGTCTCAAGTGTGTAACGCTGATCTTCCGCGATATGTATTGTTTATCATACAAAATAAGTCAAGAGCCTTATGGAGCCTTATAGCTGTCCTATAACATCAGCATCATTGCTTCCTGATGGCCATACGCTGCTAAAGTGGTTGACTCAAAATCGACAGTGCACATTATCAGTGGGTTTGAGTCCCCCTCGCGTCAAGCTGTTCACTGCTGATCCTCGATGCTTGAATCAAATAAGGCATATCTGACAAAGTGGATTATTATAATAATGCAAACATTAGTAGAATAATAAATAATAAAACATTGTACATGTAAGTGTAGCCTACACGTCTATGTATACTGAATACAAACGCAACATGCAATAATTTCAAAGATTTTACTGAGTTACAGTTCATATAAGGAATTCAGTCAATTGAAATACATTCATTAGGCCCTAATCTATGGAATTCACATAACTGGGAATACAGATATGCATTTGTTGGTCACAGATACCTTTTTTAAAAAGGTAGGGGCGTGGATCAGAAAATCAGTCAGTATCTGGTGTGACCACCATTTGCATCATGCAGCACGATACATCTCCTTCACAGAGTTGATCAGGCTGTTGATTGTGGCCTGTGGAATGTTGTCTCACACCCTTCAATGGCTGTGCGAAGTTGCTGGATATTGGCGGAACTGGAACACGCTGTCGTACACGTCGATCCAGAGCATCCCAAACATGCTTAATGGGTGACATGTCTGGTGAGTACGCAGACCATGGAAGA